AAAAAGGGAGAAAACCAACCACTTTGGACCAACAGTGGTTGAAGAGCAAGACTTCAGCATAAAGCATATACCTTGTTAGTGTACTTGATCTCTTCCTTCAGTTACACATTAATAACTTCCTCTTAAAGTAAGAGCACTATATACGCGTGCACACAGAGCACTCTTCTTGTATCCTTCCCCTCCATCCTAAATCCCAGGAAACATGGATAGTATTTAAAGGTGAATCTGGCAGAAAAGTATACTTCTTACTAACTGACTGTGCTAGTAAAAAAAATATCTGAGGAGGGAAAAAACCTAAACAGGTCAGCACAGTAACCAGTTGTAGAGGCTTACCAATACTTGGGGAAGGAATCTTTGAAGAATACCGAAGTATTTAAAACATTAGCTCAGTTTTCTGGTTACTGTGAGGACAGAGAGGAATTTTTACCCAAAATATGATCACAAAAGAGATAAATATGGGGCTTGAATATCACCACACTTTGAAAGAAAAAACCCAACAAAACAGAACCCACGCAATGGGTTATCCTCCTGTCATAAAGAAATTACTACACTTATACTTATTTAAAGACTTAAAACCAATGTTTATCCATTCGAATTGTATTTATTTAATTACACTGTAACGCAAATAAGTTAGGTCCATATAAACTCCGTTTTGTTATATGTACAACCTATGTCATTAGCAAGCTGATTGTGCCAGCTGGTCTAAGTGTCGGCCTCATCCTCTGGAATGTTCGTATCTTCAGACACTCTCTGTTCATCCGCTGGTTCTAGAACAGGACCACCACATCCTTCATCCCCAAAGTAGACTGAAAGGGGAGGGGGGGAGGGAAACGAAAGTCAGATTTGCAGCACGTAGTTATCTTTAAATTGATATTTGTAAAACACAATTCTGAAAGAACAGCTCTATAAATGTACAGGATAAATGATAAGCTCCAAAATAATGAAATAAAGCCATTAATTCAAAATTTAAGCCTACAGAGCACAAATATGTGCTCGGGAAAATAAGTGCCTGTAAACTTCAGATTAGCCCAAACATCTGCTTCTGGTATCTATGTACATATATTCTGGTATGAAATACATATTTTACTCAGTGGACCAAGATAAAAAGTCTCAAACTGCTAGCGAAGCTAAACATAGAAAAACATAGAAACACTGTCAGCAAGCAAACAACTGCAGCAACTTAGTTCTTAAGACAACTGAAGATTCTACCAAAATTGAAACACGAACTTGCCACTTTTTCCCACATGCTTTCTACTGTTTCTACTGAGTCACTGAATCCTAAAAATGGGATTTCCATTCACTGTAACTATGTGAAGCTAGAAGAGTTAATGTGTGATTTTGAAAACAATACAGTCCAATCTGTTTTAGGAATACCTGGTCCTGCATAGTAATCAAAAGTATTTCAAGAAAAATTGAAGAGTCACCCTTTCTTCATAACTTTATTTAGTTTGATCCATAGAAGCCCTTCAATAAAACTCAAATACCACTAGAACGTAAGCATTACTAATGCCATGATATGTTGCACTAACAAAAAGTCCCACAAGAAAAGGGCAACATGAACAAATGCACTTTGCTTCATGACAGTGACTAATATTGAAGGATGTAGGCCTTTATTTCATGCAGCTTTTATGTAGCTCTAGTACTCATTTGCAAAGGCCAAATGAGATTAGGTTGTGTTTTAAATTCGTGCTAGAAAGCTGGTAAGTTACTCCTCAGTGCAGAAACTTGCACAGACTAGCTCTACAACAGATTGTCAGAAGGGCAGCTGCCACTCAAAAGGTACAGGAAGTTCCATATATTAAAAGCCATGTCAGATTAAGAGAAAGGCCCTCCCAAGAAGTAGAGCTTTGCTGACTTGTCATCTGGATTTCAAAATAAACAAGAACCACAACACTAAAAAAAAAGGATGAACTCAATATTCACAACTGTTGTGCAGAGACAACACCCAAACCAGTAACTATCTGCACTGGGTTTGTAAATACATGCAGAACCAATACATACCTCCAGATAGTTGGCTCAGGCATTCCAGGATCTGCACCTCTTTTAAAACCTGAAGTGAAACATACATTACATACATATATATAAAAATATGTATGTGCAAACTCCTACTTAGATCACTATATAATTATTCCAGCCCATTAAATTGCAATAAGAAAAAACTGCTTAATAGAGAACTATGATTCATGCAGTTGTGCACTAACATGAATAAAAACTGTACATTCTTATCAGGGTTAGGAAGCAGAGAAAATAAACACAAGTGTACTTTTTTTAAGTCTTACCTGCATCTTCATCTGACTTAAAATTCAGGATCAACTACCTGTGAGATCAAGGAAGTTATCTACCCTGAGGAGCAAGACACAGCTTTACACACACAAAGACACAGATTGTAGATGATGTTCAGAAAGCAGCCTAGCAAGGCTCTACCAACAGAAACGCCTATACCTGGTATAAGCGAGCACCTTGAGGCCTAACAGGCAACATTCTGCAATGACATCTGATGCAGAACTTAAAAGCAGTTTCTCAGTAACAATTCACTCAATTTAGGATGACACAATTCTAAATGTTAAATCAATGAAACCTCCAATCTTCTATTTTGACTGGCATTTTTTTGAAAAGCTACATAGTACTAAAGCTTGCAAACAAACAAGATGTTTGTCAATCTACTAACACCCAGGAAAATGAAAGTTAATTACAAAGAGTTCGCCCCGGCTAATTACTCAAATACCAACTGACTAAAGTACACGAATGCTGGAGAAGCAACTAAGGGTTAATATATGAAGTATCTTTGCTCTCTGGACTGTAAATTAAAAATCTTGAAGGAGAATCACACAATTCAGGCACTGTTCAACACACTCCCTCCTACATGGGCTATCCAGAAGTGGATAAATTATGAAAAGTATATTATTTCCCTTATTTACAGAAAATAAATAATTTATGTCACCTTGCCCGAAACACAGGCCACAGAGGTTAATGGGAAAACTTCCATTAACTTCACAGGCACAGGAAAAGCTCTCTGAAGATAATCTTGCATGATTTGAGACTATCAAATACCCTGATACAAGTTGTTTAGTTGCCATACTGTCCAGCAACACAGCTTTAAAATTCATAACGTCGTATTACAAGTCACACTCTCTGTGTGTGTGAATGTTTCTGGCTCCTTTCCCTCCATTCCCATTATTTTTAAATAAGCAAACCAGGTTTAACAAAACTGCACTGATCTAATTTATCAACTTAAAACCAGGGCAGCCACTTCAAAGCAAGTTTAAAAAAATACAACAAAAAACCCCCAATGACCTATAATTGCACATTCACGTACCAGGCTCCCTTGTACAGCCCTGGAGCATCCCATCCTGAGCTAGAAAGCCTTTCAGAGGAAATTAAAAGCTCAAATTTGCTGAACATGTCCTTGCCTACGTTTAGTTTAGCATGTATTTCTTCTACACAGGGATCAATAAAAAAACTGCCCTTCAATCAGCGACACTAACTACCGTGTAGCCTCTTCCCCTTCCACTGCGTCACACCTTCCCTCCCAGATTCAAAGGTAATCTCAGCATAGAAGAGGTTCTTTCAATCCTATAGGCTTTGAATGCATGCCACCTCCAAATGTCTATGGCAAGCAAAGGCGGCACCTACACATCCCCTTCCCATCTGCTTATACTTAATGTCCTTTCATTACTGCAGACAAATTTATAAGAAGGCAATGCAGACATGGAACGGCACACTTATTTTCCGGAGGTATGAACCTGAACTACTACAACTCGAGTTTCTCACTGCTACATAGCAAAATTGTACTAGGCAGACTGACATTAGTGCAACTGTAAATACAGTAAGAGGGCTTTGTATAACTTGAAGTTTATACAGTAAGTATTAAGTATTTAATGCCCTCTGATGTCACTCAGAACAAAGAGCATCTTTCCCATATCCACAGATACTGTCTTGAAAGCAAAATCAAAACAAAACTTCAGCAACAGCAAAATTAGGTCACGAAACACTGCTGAAATTCCCACCCAATACTTATAAATTTAAATAAATTATAAACTAAAAGTGGAAACGCAATTAAAGTTTAAACCTAATAATGCCAATTAGTTTTTTTCCATAGTTTTTGAAGTGACTTCTTTTTCTTGTAGTTTTTGTTAAAGCACTTCTGCAACAGTTGAAGAGACCAACTTTTCCCTGATTGTTATCTACGAACAATTAAAGCCCTTCAAACTGGACACTGCATTCCCCTCAATTAATCAAAAGAACCTATCAGATTTGACTGTAAACACATTAAGCTCCCGGCTCTCCTTCATGTTTGTGTTCCACACAGAGATGCCTGCCTGGTTTAGCTACTTTTCCCAAAAGGCCCAACTCAGTTTGGGCAGAAAGTAAGCCAGATGAATTGCAGGGATCAGCCTTTCTGGGGCGCCCTGTCATAAAAGAAGTGAACAAAAGTGTCAGGCCTATGGCACATTGCCTATCTTAAGTGGGTCAGGCTCTTTAATAAGGACAGCTGATGGCACACAGCCCTAACTCAGCAGGAGAACTACCATGTGGTAGTGACACCTGCCCAGTCCCATGACAGGAGCAAGTGAAATACATCCTGGGCACCAGGCACGACATCAAGGCATCCCCTGAATGTTCCACTGCAATTTGGAAACAGGAGTCCCATTTTGGGTGGGACAGAGACCATAACCTGTACATTATGCTGGAAATTCAACCTTAGCCAGAGGCTGGCAACCCCCTCAGTGCCATGAATCAGCTCTCCCATCACTTGGCAGCTTTTTCCTCCCTGTGCACACAACACAGTCTCGCCTACTGAAGCAGCTGGTCACTGACACAGGTTAAATCACAGCTCCGACTGCTGTTTGGCCACTTGGTACATGCTCTGCCTGCTCCCCTGAGGGGCCCTCCCGTCACTGGACACACACAGATCAGAAACAGCCTCCAGGGAGGAAAAGGAGCAGAAAACTCTTTATTACAGAATCACAGACCTTTTAGGGTTGGATCTCTGGTGATTGTTTAGTTCAACCTCCTTGCCAAGGTAGGGTCACCTAGCGCACATTACACAGGAATGTGTCCAGGTGGGTTTTGAATGTCTCCAGAGAGGGAGACTCCATGACCTCCTTGTGCAGCCTGTTCCAGTGCTCTGCCATCCTAAACATACAAAAGTTCCACCCTCATGAGAGGTGAAATTTCTTGCATTTTAGTTTATGGCCACTGCTCCTTGTCCTGTCACGGGGCACCACTGGAAAGAGTTTGGCACCGTCCTCTTGGCATCTCCCTTTGAGATATTTATATGCGTTAATGAGATTCCTTCTCAGTCTTCTCTTGTCTAGACTACATAGGCCCAGCTCCTGCAGCCTCTCCTCGTAAGAGGGACCAGATCCCTCATCATTTTCGTAGCCCTCTGCTGGACCCTCTCCAGTAGATCCTTGTCTTTCCCGTACTAAGGAGCCCAGAACTCCGGACGTGGCCTCACTGGGGCCGAGCAGAGGGGGAGGATCACCTCCCTCGACCCGCTGGCCACACTCTTCTTCTTTATAAGGAAAGGAATAAAAAGAAACGCACAACAAAAACACCACCCAACACGAAGCCTCACTGCCCCGCAGCTCTGCCAAGGGCAACCCCGGCCCTGCCCCTCTGCACATGCGCGGCCATGGCCGCGGGGCCCGGGCAGCGGGGCGGTCCTGCCCCGTCGGGCCCTTCCTCGCCCCCGCCGCTCCCCGGCGGACGGCAGCGCCTGGACGGGCCAGGGGGAGGAGAGCGGCGAGCGGAGCCACCCAGGCACCCCCGCCCTGGCTCCGGCCCCCACCCCGGTCATGGCCGCCGAGCACCCCCCGCGCGGCCCCCGCCCGCCTGGCACTGACCGAGGTAGAGCACCACGGGGATGAAGCCCCAGCGAATGGCGAACTGGCCGCCCTTGAAGAGCTGCTGTAACCGCTGCTTGGCCTCCTTGCTAAGCTTCGGCATCCCGGCGGCGGGGCAGAGAGGAGGGGGAGGAAGAGGAGGAGCTCAGCCGATATCGTAACGGCGCCGTGCGCTGGGCGGGACCCATGGCGGGGCTGCGGGGCGGGCACCAGGCACGGCGGGGACCAGGCACGGCGCTGCCCGAGGAAGGGCGAGGAAATGGCGGCCGGGGTCTGCCTGCGCCCGCCGGCTGGTCCCGCCCGCGTGTCATTGCCACAAGCAGAGGGACTGGAGTCGGGGGTGGCCCACCAGGGTCGGGCAGCTGGGAGGGGGGTCTGCAAACGCTGTGGGTCTTCTTCGTCTGCCTTAGGTCCTGCAGGAGTCATGTTTGTGTTCCTTCCCCGCAGCTCTCGAGGTGTACGCGCCCGCGCCGCCTCTGGAGGGTGGGAAGTGCCTTTGGTAAGTGAAAGGTACAGGCGAAGTGTAGAGTAAAGTATTTCTGGGTGAAACTGGAAATGCTTCTCCATGAAGCTCTCCATGAAACTGTGTCAAGCAGAGGTTTAAGTTGGATATTAGGGAAAGATTCTTCACCCAGAGGGTGGTTGGGTGCTGGCACAGGCTCCCTAGGGAAGTGGTCACAGCACCAAGCCTGACAAGAGTTTAAGAAGTGTTTGGACAATACTCTCTGGCACATGGTGTCCCATGGTGACTCTTGGTGACCCATGCAGGACCAGGAGTTGGATTTTGATGATCCTTATTGGTTCCTTCCAGCTCTGGGTGTTTTGTGATCTTTAATACCAGGCTGCACAATGTGTTCAGTTTATGAACAAGAGTTCAGGGAATGAAAGCTTGACTAGAAATATAGGGAGAGACCTAATATCTAAAAACTGCTGGTAGAGCATGTTGGCCTTGTCCTTGCAACCTCACAGCCTGTATAAGCACTGAGGCACTTTTTTAACAGATAAATGAGTAGTCTCTGCCGAACGCGTGTAGTGCAAGAGGCACATTCATTTGTCAGTAATGCCTTGTCATACTCAAAACAGAACTCAAACTATTGAACCTGCTTTTCTTAGTCTTGCAAAGGAAGAGAAGTGGTTGCTGCAGAAACCTATTTTCCAGCAGTTTGTATTAAATTGGTTTTCCTTTGTAGGTTAGGCCAAGTAAGATCAGTTTCCACACTGTGGTTACTGTTACAGCTTGTTCTTTCTAAACATACAAAACCAACTGTTCATTACAGCCCACAGCTTGTTAATGATCTCTTACAAAATAGTGCAATAGAATGCCACCCACTGTAGTGGAATTAAATTCAAAAGGTATTTTTCCTTAAACTTCCTGTAGTTTTAGTGTAAGTGGGATTCAGAAGGTCAAATGTACTAATCAGCTGATCCAAAGGGTTAAAAAGCTCTGTCTCCTTTGAGAATTGGTTTAACTGTGTCACATGTGACACTGTATAATCTTATTGTGGATGTTCTTGAGAAAGGGTGTTCACCAAAATGTGCCACATGTGCCAGCTCTTTCTCTTCTTCACTTCGTGCATTAAGTCGAGGAATAATTTTCAGAGCACAGAAACTTAGTAGCTCTCATTTCTCTTGTCTGCCAATTTGAATGTTAGACTAAAAGCTTGTGGGTTATTTCCTTGATTTAACCGTAGAAGCCAGGAAATGAATATTTCTTTGCCAGTTTTCTTGCAAACAAAATCAGTGCTGTGGCCTATAAGAGCACAAGGGGGTGTGCAAATAAACCAGTGTTGGTTCTGTATAGCTACCGGTTTAGATTTACATGATTTTACGTACTGAGGCTGTGAAAGAATATCTGTAAACTAAGACAAGTGACTGGAGAACAGCACTTTTTCCATCATAACACACATCCATAGTCCCATACTGTCCAAAGTATCATATTTGTAGTAAAAAAACCCAACCAAACAAAACCACAAAACGTCCACAACAAAACAAAAAACTGCAAAGCATGCAAAGAGTAAATAGTTGTACTGACTCCAGAAGTTTTTTTTGGCTCCTGTGGCACCTAGGATGCTAAAGGGTCGAAGAGCTTGGCAGTCCTTTGATGAACTGTTGACTCAGCCAAAGGGGGAAGAGAGCAGCAGTCATCCTTCCTGCAAGTTCGTGAGACAGTGCTATTCAAATAATTGAAATAATGAAAATTAACCCTTAAAACAAAGATTCATATGATGGGGCATGAAAAAATTAGCTGTTTTGAAGGGATAAGTAGTACCCAAAGAAATGGATACTGTAATTGATAGAGGAGGCTTTGCTCAGAGAAGACAGAAGTAAGATGATGTAGGTGTGCTGTGGGTATTACTCCATGTTTGTAGTGTATTGTGGTAACCCTTTCATGAAGGATTTTGATTTTATTTGATTTTTCTTTTATGGCTGATAATGAAGACAAACCCACTTGGAATGGTATATCCATTAAATAAGAACAAGAGCCCCAATTGCTGGAATGAAAAAGAAAATTAGTAATACCATATGTGTTGAAAGATTTTTGTTACAAAAAATCTCTTTGAATTTCTTTTAGCCTCGTAGTTTCGTGTGATCAGCAATAACAATAAAATCAGAAATAAAATTGCAGAGGTTTTAACAGGGACAACAAGAATATGAATGCATGCTGTTTTACTAACTCAATTAGCAGTAATTCCACATTTGCTGTGTTTTCACAGCAAATAAATACCACTAACACACATTGTAAAATGGCCAAATATTTCCATTTTTATGGGTAAATTAGAGAACTGAGATTCTTGGAGACATGACTGAATAACTCTTAGTGTCTGTCTCAGGATTGGGGAAGTAATGTCACTTGGTCAGATGGCTGTAACATGTCGTTTTGGTTTTGAGTGCAAAGGGTACCTTTCAGGTTAAAGAATTTCAGACCTCTAAAGCTTTATCTCAATACACCAGAAAGTAAAGCCATGCAATAGTACGTGCAACTCAGAAGGCTGATGAAGGAGACGAAGTGCATTGAAGTCTGTGAAAAATCACTGTAAACTCGACATAGGAAATCCCTGCAAACTTCCATTATGTGCTTACCACTCTCACTTCTGAGATTTTTCCCCTCACTTTACTGACAAGAAACTGCATTAAATTCATCTTCTTGGGATGAAAGTTTGAGTTTGACTCTGTTTAGGAGGAACTTAGATTTCAAAGACGCTATGGTAGATATTTCATACTTGAGGATTACACCATAAATCAGTATAAATAACACAAGAACATAAGGAAGAGGTCATTAATGGATTTCCATTCCAGGCTGAATCTTTACCATGTCAATAAAAATGGTAGCATATTATGACTAGGCATTCTGTTTCACTTCATTATTATAATTAGGCTCTCTATTTTTGTTGTGCCCTACTAATGATGTTCCTTCTATTCAATTTTAATATTCCTATTTATTTAGTCTAATAAATCCCAGCTCCTCTGCAGAACCACTGGTCTGGGAAATGTTCCTTGTCATGTCACAAAGGCAAGAGGACGTATTTTGAAAACATGCTTGGAATGCAGAGCTGTATTGCATATAAAAATTTTCTGTCCAAATTTGAATCTTTTCCACGTGAATTGCTGTATGATACTTGTTGGATGTACCCTGGTCGCTGTCTGATATGGCATATTTCCAAGAAAAGTGATATTGTCAGATGCTGTGTTGGTTTTGGCAGGGGTAGAGTTAATTTTCTTCACTGTGGCTGGTATGGGGCTGTGTTTTGGATTTGTGCTGAACACAGGGTTGATAACAGAGATGTTTTTGGTTTTGCTGGGCAGTGCTTACACAGAGTCAAGGCCTTTTCTGCTTTTCATACTGCCACGCTGGCAAGAAAGTTGGGGGTGCATGGCAGGTTGGGAGGAGACAGCTGGGACAGGTGACCTGAACTGACTGAAGAGATATTCCATACCATGGAATCGTGCTCAGTATATAAAGTAGAAGGAAGAAGAAGGAAAGGGGGCACATTTGGAGTGATGACATTTGTCTTCCCAAGTCACCATTACCTGTAACAAGGCCCTGCTCTCCTGGAGATGGCTGAACACCATGGGAAGCAGTGAATTTATTCCTTGTTTTCCTTTGCTTGTGTGCAGAGCTTTTGCCTTCCCTATTAAACTGTCTTTATCTCAACCCATGAGTTTTCCAGCTTTTACCTTCCAATTGGGAGAGTGAGTGAGCAGCTGTGTGGGGCTTGGCTACTGGCTAGGGTGAAACCACAACAGATGGTTATCTAGAAAATTAGTAGAATTATCAGAGTGGTAGGAACAAGAGGGAAAGTGTAGTGAGTTTGTATATTCAATACAGTAACTGTACAATTTATTTATTTAAAAATAAACCAAAACTGAGTGGAGTCGAGTTACAATCATTACTTTTCATTACAGCTTCCGAGGCCAGGGAAGAAGGAACAGCAATCTGAGGTGAGACAGCAAAGAACCTCATCCAGTGCTTTTAGAGACCTCTGACAAGAACTGTTGATGTGCTTAAAAATTGAATATTACCTGCTGCAAAACTTTACTGTTCTTTGAAGCGTGGCTTTCCCATTCTCCCCATCTTCATTTAACAATGAAAATTGTGTTACACTTAAAGATACTGCTACCTTTTACCATATCTAAAAACACCACAGTTCTTAAATGCATGTTTTTATGATTGCACTACTTGGCCAAGGATGAAAACAATAATCTGATTCTTTACATGCTTGATACGCAAAAATGATGAATGAAAGGATTTTCTGAGGCCAAAACGAATATATATATATTTACTCATTCTCTGTTTTTAAATTAAGCTCTTTTTTTAGCATCTGAACAGTGAACACTTCAGTAACTCTAGGAGGATTTTCCTCTAAAGATATTTGAATGTAAACCTTTTCTTTGTCAACAGATCTCAAGTAGATTTTTGTTGCATAAGAATATGTTGTTTTAACAGCACACGTCCATAAAGACTTCAAAGGACTTAAAAAATGTTTATTTTAGGCAAATTTTTACTATGATTGAAACAAGATGAGGAAAACAATGAATATATTCTGATTTTCAAAACAGTCTTTGCTTTGTATACTTGCCTTTGTACAAATTCTGACCTTAGTGAATTGTATTATGGTGAAACAACCATGAAACTGAGAATGTAAGTCTTTGCAATCAGTTGGCAGCATTGCACATGAAAGTGAAATATTTCTCTCTGATATAGAACATAGAATTTGAGATTTGAAAAATAGTAGTTATAAGTTGTAGTCTGCTTTCTCTCTTCTGTGAATAGTGTAATAGTCTTTCTTAACATCCAAATACAAAAAATAAATATGCTGCTGAAACAACTTTTACTAGCAATGAAGTATTTGAAAATGCAACTGAATGATGCACAGCATTTGCTTCACTGATTTACAGTAATGCTTTTGGATGCACTCTTTCAGATTTTACAAGATAAATGCAACAGCAAGAAGTTACTAACAACGTTGGTTATAAGCAAAGAGAAAACAGGTAGTAAAGCAAAAAGAAGAACCTCAAAGTTATAATATGCCAGGTGATTGTGAAACATGTCTATGCGTTTTCTGCCAAAGTGCTTGTTCTGGCTTTTGTGTTCAGTCACTGTTAAATTATATAGTGTTTCAGTTACTGTGTATATCCCTAAGTATCCTTTTTTATTGTTACTGATGCCTTAAGCCCCTAATGGTTTTTTTATTTTTCTAATATTTGTAAGACTTGTAAGTTTTATAAGTAGTGGAAGTAGGTTTTAAAAGCAGAAACCCTTCCCTTCTTTGTCCCTTGTCCCTTTCCCTGTAGCACCCTTGTTTACACATTCCTTAACCCTCTTACCCCATTCTATCCTCCCTATATCACTCATAGCCCCAAATCTAATTAGGGGCCTTAAGCCATTAGGGGCTTAAGGCATCATTACCTCCAAAACAAGAAGGGTGTTTGTTAAAATTGATATTTTTTAAAGTATAAATTAAAATTTAATTTAGCATGTCTTTAATTTAAATAGAATTTAAAGCACAGCATAGTCTAGATTTTAGTGTTGTCATTATAATAGTTTTTAACAACTTGTAATAAAAATTATAGAGTTCGGAGCTTAATAGGAAATGTAAAAATATCTGAATTTTCAGATCTTGAATAAGATTTGCCAGTCAATGAAGTAAATCTGTCATGTATATGTACAAATGGAATAACTCATAGTGTATTTAAATGTTGAATGAATTAGTTAGGTAAATGTAGTGAATGTAGGTATTAATTTATCTTCATTGTGCACTTTGTGTGAATTCACTTCAGAAACTTAAGGACAGAGCATTTGTCATATTCCTAATTCAGCATGGCCTAACCATGACCAACAAGGTGAGGGGCAGTTCACACCTCCTCTGGCCAAGCTCCATAAGAATGCGCTGCATGAGCTGCCTACTCAAGGTGACACTCCAGCAAGAGCTGCCATTCAGAACTTGGAAACCCAACCAATATGGATAAAAGTATCAGCAGTAATGTGTGTCTTTAGTTTTTGCTTTTCCGTAGTTCAGATTTCACTGAAAATTCTTTAGGACCTTCAGCACATGGAAGATTAGAATCAGTAATTTAATATTATAATGAAGACTAATTAAGGCCTTTCCAAGATACCAGAAGGTGATCAAGGGAAGCTCTCTTCTTCCTTTGCAAGTCTAGTCTGGTGCTATCAGATTAAATGAAGCACGACTCATGGTTAATGAAGTTTTTACTATTCTATTAAAATAAAATTTAGTCTCTTAAAATGCTTCCCTTTCATACACAATTTCTGTCCATACTTTGTCTATTTTAGCATAATCATAGCCCATATTTAGCCCAGAAAAATGTTTTTAGATTTTACTAATTTCAAAACATTGTCAAGTAGACACACAAGTGTATCTTCTCTATGTATTGACAGCCTCATTCACATGCCTATAAGTTCATCTAAGACTCTTTTCACTTATGCACAGAAAACAAATGACCTTTCAGGGAAATACCTATCAGTGTTTTAATCAATGCTGCTGCTTTTTGGTTAGGATTATTAAAAATCTCAAACATTAATCTCCTATAAGTGCAGAACGACAGTCATTTTAGATACTGGTTTCTTTGCAGTCCGGTCGATTTGTAGGAGTACATACTGGAATGATTAATGAGATATCAGTAGCTTTTTGCATAGCTTCCTACCTAAAGCAAATAAAATAAAAGTTAACAAACAAACAAAAACCCCAAACCAGCAAGGGCAAATTAGTTGTTCTGCCTTATAAAGTCTGTTAGGCGCACTTGGCACAGGCTGAGTCTGACCCTGATTTCCAAGCACGTGAACGGCCAAAATAAAATGCCGTTTCTGTAATACTGTTTTCCCCTTTTTTTAAAAGTGTATATTAGGCACACATCTGAAGAAACAATATTTTACTCCTTTATTTTAAGTTTAGGTAGCAGTCACAAGAGATTAGATGCTGTTAAGTGTAATGAAGCATGAAGATTACAAGATAAATGAACCAGAGGGTTTTCAGCTCGATAACATCATTCAGCACATAATGATACAGATTTTGTATTTCAGACACAAATGTCACATTGGGGTTGAAATCATGCTAGATGAATCTGTGTGAGTAAGTATAACTAAGATAATTCCCCACACCCCAATTACCTTCCTATTTTAAATATAGAAAGGAAAATGAGTCCCCCTGAATTGAGAGATGAGTTATTTGTGTGTAGTATTTGTGATGGCAAATTCTTTCTAAAATAAACACAGTAATAAAAATTCTTCTTCTTTCCTTTCATATTTTAAGGGGACAGGCTACTTCTGGTGACAGAGTATTAGACTTAGACTGATCCTGGTCTCTTAGGGGATTAGTATTTGACTAGTGCATACAGCACTATATATTAGAGTCATTAATTGTGTCATAGCAAAATATTTTTCTGCAACTTTTCTGTTAAATTTCTTTAAAGCCACATGCAGCATGTTACTTTCCATGTTGTATATTAGTTCCAACAACTCTAATATGAATGATATGCTGGTGGGCTTTTGAAAATCTGAAGGACATGAATCTGCCAGGGAGCCTAGATGGGACTTTTAAAAAACAAAATTAAAAATAATTTAACTACTATTAAAAAGTATAAAAAAATGCTATCAGCCTCTATTAATTTAGTTCTTCCACTTCATTACAGAAAGACACCTTTGATCCAAAATGTATTAGCAGTGTTCTGTTAAAGCCAGCAGAGGGCAGACTTGAATTGGAAACTCTTTTTGCTACTTCAGTTACTTGAACGTAAAATATCAGATAGTCCCTTGAGCTCAAAGCTGATCACAGTCTCATTGCTTCTCTACTACTCTAATTACACTTGTGCTGGATAAAAGCTTCTTTGCAGTTGCTGTTTGACAAAATGAGTGTTTTGCGAATGTTTAAATAAAGATGCTAATATGAGAGTGAATCAGTCAGTGGATTAGCAGCTGTGTTTTACTCACCAGGGATAATTCACACTGCTTAATCATTAACCCATGTATATCTTTAAATGATTTTTAAAAGCTAGTGAATATCAATATCCTCATTTTACAGATGAAGAAACTGAGGAATAGAAGTTTGCAAGTTACTTATCTGGGTGACTTACAGAAACAAGAACAAAATCCAGATTTCTGATCCAGCACTTTGCACACATGAACTATGACATTTCTAACTCTTGCAAACTCTTACAGAAATGATTGATAGCAGCCCAAATCGCTGAGACTGAGGAGCTTACACCGATGAAATAGCAGACAACTGACAGTGAGGCTGTAGATCTTGAGAAGAATATTCTCCCCAAGATGTGTGGTGATCAGATCAGATGGCTAAAATCAGTTTTAAGAATAGTATTTTATTATTAAAACGAGTACCTTGCATTTTTAGATATCTTTGTCATTCACTAAGTTAAGTTGTAGCCTTTCAAAAACCTTTATGGTAGCCTATTACTGCCTCTAACTCTATGTTCAACATTTTTAAGGTCTGCGTGAAGGTTTGTAAAAATAAATTACAAAGGAGTCCACTTTAAGTTTCTTGGTGATTTCTCCTTGTACCTTGTGTAATTTTACACTTCACAAAGAGCTGACACCTCCTAATAGTCATCATTTTCCATAATTCACAGAAGCCCGAATATGCAGTTATCTCAAAAGGGAAAAGATTAAGTTGCTTTTCTGCAGAACATAAACTGTCCTCAAAATAACGACTAATTGAAGGCATTTGTTTACAGACTTGTTTTATAGTCAGCCACTGGATCCCTTAGCTCAAGAAGAAGGAAGAAAGATAATGATTCAATTAACTAAAACTGCTGCTTTGAAAAATGTGTTTTCCAGTGTAAAACTTATTTTATTCATCCCTAATTATATATTGCTGAAAACTGTTAACTGTGATTAAGGAAAAATAAGTCTGAGGTTTTGAGAGCATGGCAGGTTTTTCCTACTGTAAGCTCCACAATGATCTTTTCCTATACTAATCCTAGATGGTGTATATTTTCCTTTGTTTCTACCCAACTTTCCTTTTTATTTGTAATATATGTGTGAAATGTTATAAAAATTAGTGCTTTAAGAGCAGTTAAGATATTACCACCTCAAAACCACATCATTGTTACATACAGTTGTATTTGTTTTGCTGAGTAGGTTCCAGCTCAGTTGCAGAAGAAGTTACAGATAATGCAAAAACACTGTCTTAGAGCAGCAGCTGTTGCTATAGGCAGATTGGCCAAAAGCCTGTCCCTATATTTCTTTACATGGAAGCAAAGGGATAGATGTATGTATTGTCTGAATAGAGAAAATGATGTTGTTGTATGCCTGTGACAAAAAATACAATAGTATTTTTTTTGAAAAGTATACTTATTTATGGATTTAAAAAAATTGGAATATGCCATATATTAAACTTGTATTTGATCAAGATCAGTTGTTCTGGTAATGTTCCTTCAGAGATGAGAGTTTTAGTGACAGGGTAAAGATACTTCTACATCTGTGGAATTTAAAGCCTGCTACTGTCAAGTTGCCAGGACCCTTAAATGTCTTTCTCTCTTTTAGTAAATCAAAAATGTTTATACTTACTGTCACAAGTAGTAGAAGAATACCAACAATTGCTTCTGTGTTTAGAATTCTGTGGAGTCTGCTACCTGTGAGCAGACTCTGCTTAAATTCTCTGAAACTACTAATTGCTAACCTCATTCTTGACATACTTCAGCCTCCAACAGCCTGCTGAAACTTCTGTTACACCTTCTGGGAATCTATCTATAGTAATTTCTTTCTCTCCCCACATGGCTCCAAGCCAGAAATATATCCATTTGCACAAATGCTTCTTAACCTTGCTCACAGTTTTTTAATTTTTTTTTTCTTTCTGCTTCTCTGGTTGCTGGATGCTTTTCTAGTAAATTCAGTACTTGCCATGTTTGCTGTGTAATGGACTGGTGGTTACAATGCATTTTCTAAACTACTGTTTGTTTCAGTTTTAGTGCACTGAATAAAATTATTTCTCTGTTGTCATTTTATGGGCATCTTACTGTAACATAGTCCAGGCTGGATGGAGCTCTGAGCAGCCTGGTCTAGTGAAAAGTGTCCCTCCTCATGGAATGAGATCATCTTTAAGATCTCTTCCAACCCAGGCCATTCTATGACTCTGTGTACATGTGTCTAGATACACAATATATGTATATAAACGTATACAGTATAGAACTGTAGGTTTATCAGAATTAATTGAAAATGAGCCAGCTTGGCTATCAATACCAACACCATTACTGAGGATACATGTATAGACACATAGAGCAAACCTCAGCTGCAGCTGGGAAGTTGTCAGTGTTTCAGCTACCTAGAACCACCTAGGCAAATATTTGACATTAGAAAATTAGGAGCATTTTGATTGGAGTGATTAGGTTGATACATAGCAGTTCTATTGCAGAAGCAGGAACAGATAGTCTGGAATTTTCTGACTCCAGTTTTCACAACGAATTAAATACGTTTTTCATGTACTTCCTGTACAATTGTGATGAATGCTACACCAGAGTCCAGTCCAAGCTCTGAAAAAGCCAGAAAGTGTGTGGTGACAAAAATAGTCACATAACATGGTTCCATGGCTGCATGCTTGATTGAGAACAAGGATTCTGCATTAAGATTGTACATAGGGCAGCGTGTGGCATCTCTTACTATGTTCTTCTGTGGGGTCTTAACCACATTTAACTTCCATTTTCAATTAGATCTCAACACTAGGAAATAAAAACACAAATTGTAGCTTGTGCAGAATTTGGTTTATCTCCGACTTTGATAAATCCAGCCTTGCAGCTTCCAGTCCCTGGGGTGTCCAAATACCTGTCCCTAGAAGACATTGCTCTGCATTAGAACTCATAAACTGTTAGATCAGTGAAGTGCTGTTTTCTTTCAGGTATTGTATCATGAATCTGCACTTTTTCTCTGCCCTTAAGGCAGCTGGAGTTTTCAGGCTATCCCATTTGACTGCATCTGTGTCACAAGGCACTGACATCAGAAACACATCTTAGCCCCGGTATCTCAAATGAATCTGGTTACAGAAAGAGCAAGATTACTAAAAGAATGGATTTTAAGATTTTACTTCCAAAGAATAATGAGAAGCAAAAAAAAAAGGCTAAAAGCCAGGAACATGCAAACTCCTGCTGGTCAGTTTTCAGTTGATCAACTTTGGCTTTTAATGACTACCTGCAAAGACTAATTATTGACTTCACTGAGCTACCCTACATTTCAAAGTGTCTAATGCTGTCATGTAGTTGCACACTATAACACTGACTGCTAAATGCAGACTCACCCTTGACTTCATACCCAGCACTGGTCAGGACTAGCAAACCTCAGCTTCAAGATTTAGGGTAAAGTACTGTCTCCTGTCAGCAGTAACCTATCACATTGGTGGGCACAAGTGAAAAGATACTAAACCAGGAATGGTTTGGTTTTCTCCTACTAACCATAAATTTAGAGCATTAACTTCATGACATCAGTGAGAGCTCTGTGTTCAAATCCTCCAGCACATGTAATGGGAAATACAGACTATCAGTTTTCCATTTACTATTTTGGCAGGCATAATTTTGTTATTTTTCAAGCTGTTTATATTGGCCACCTCAGTGTTTTAGTTAATTTCACACATATTTCAGCATTTCAAGAAATCTGTGCTTCAGCAGACATGGGGGATGTTGTGTGTGTCCCCCCCCAAATTTTAGAGTTTCTTTCACTGAGCCTGGTATATATTAAGATTTACAAGCTTAATTTACATTTCAACAGAGCATTCACCTGTGTCCTGTCAAAGACTCCATGGGGCAGTAAATTATATATTTTAGAGAGATTATGAATTCTAATAAAAGGGCATCAGGAATGTCCAAAAGAGGTGTAGAGATGTGTAACAGCACAGTGAAGGCTGGTATGAATGAAGTGTAGATAGAAGTTCGTGAAAGCATCAGCAGGAAGAGCAGAACAGAGGGTTAAAAGGATGGACTCTTGTTAACACAGAAAACCATTCCCAGCAGAAAAGTAAGGAATTGTTCTGTTTATGTCAAGGCCAAAGACCTGCACTTCGAAAACAGATGACCTGTCAGCAAAAGACCTATCCTGACCCCAGGGGGATGGTAACAAGGCTGCAGCATCAGATACGCTTTACCTTTCCTGTTAGCCTGTCCAGAAAACATGTGTTGAAAACAAGATAAAACAGGCAATGGGCAGCAACCTGGCCTGTCATTTATGGAGAACAAAGTAAACAGGACTCTGAGGTGAAAGATGACCATATACCACCTGATGTCTCCTAAGGGGAATGAAAGATCTGTCCAGAAAGCAGTTTGTTGTCCCTAGTCAAGGGCTTGTAGTGAGGGCTTGGCAGTGGGCACCCCTGTTCCTTTGTGTCAAACTCGAGTGATCCTGGCCAGGCCACTGGGACTCTATGTTTTGGTGCTCCTGAATATACAAGTGTCAGAGAATTAAATTTATAGGAGAATGAGTGTGAGTGCATAAAACCAACTTGCTTAAAGATTTTGTAAATAAATACCTTCTCCCCTTTCATAAGATCTCACACTGAACTTTCTCACACTGATTCAGCAATTTCCCATTGTTACATGAATGAACAGTCATTCATGTTGAGAATCATATCCTAACTCCCCCACAGACAGAGGGACAGAGATGCTCATGACTTGCTCTAACTCTTGCATTCCTTCCTAGATGTGGCATAATAACAAACTGTATGTCACTTTATCTACAAGTATATAGATGATCATTTCCTCCCACTGTTTTTCCAAATGCTTGGTTTGCTCAACCCAGAGGGACTTAGTACAGCATTTCATGACATGGAATTGAAGCTTCTCTGAGGGAAATCCATGCACTACTGGAGTAAAATAATCATAGAATGATAGCTGAGTAATTGTTGATAAAGAACAAATTACTCCATGGAAAGCCACATGAAAAATAAAGGGTTGGAGAGAAAGTGAAGGAGGAAGGGTGAAAAAGTCTACTTTAAGTTCTAAAACAATAAAAATGAGGAAATACAAGGTTGATATGGACTTGGCCATCATCACACTGTGACTCAAAGTTGGTAGAATGCTTGAATAATGCCTTCCAACACCCCACACTACTCTGGATCCATAGTGCCAGAGAAGGAGACTCTTAGAAGGGCTCAGTTACAATGAGGCTGAGCTGTAGCATGCAGAAATGGAGATTTGGTTCATGATGGTGTTCGCATATCAACCTCTGTAAATGACAGGATTAGGGCAACAGACTGCACTGCCTTTTGCACTTTCCAGTAAAAATCTGGTGGAGAAATAAATATCCTTGTCCTTGCCTTTTACCATAGCAGCATTAAAAGAACCTACAATATGTGCATCTATTTAGCTGGTCAGCCAGATGTCAGTGAGGCTCAAAGTCCTCATGTTAACTACCACAAAAGCCTTTTCTCAGAGGACTAGTCAGATATTACATGGGAGCTGGCTGTATTTGATCTTAGATCAGAAAAAGAGCTTAGATGTTTGTTCTGGCACAATTATATGTTTATTCTTTCAAATTTAGTTTGGACTTTTGCAGAAAGTAGGAAGTCTACTGGTAACTCACCAGCCAGTTGGCTTCTGCTGTCCCCAGAGGTGACCATGAACTGGTCTTTCTAAATGTATTGAGAATGTTACACTTGCTAATTTAGCGAGGACTGGTGTTGTGCTCATCTCTGTGTAACAGACTCCCTCAACAACTGAAAGAAAGGAGGGCAGATGCTATAAGGGATTGTTGCTCCTTAGAGATCAATGCCTTGCAATGCTAATCAGAGGCCTGGTAAGTGTGAAAGCTTTGAGAAACTAAGTTTGTGTTCAAACACTCAAATGTTTTTATTATTGGCATTCACAAACTGGATTTTCTACCCAAGTAAGATGCCTCAAATCCAGCACAATCTCATAATTGTCTTCTCTGCAGTGCCTCTAGATTTACAGAGCTCAAGAGCAGAAATTTGCTCAGTATTTTCTTCTCTTACAGTTGATGTTAGAAGGCTTGCCAAGCTTCTGCCTTCATATCTGTTTGGCACTCAAATCAAAAAAAGGAGCATTGGGGATGGGGAAAGCCTGGTTTGCTAAGAACTGTATCTGCCAGACAATAAACTACGTATTTGGGGGGGGGAAAGTGATGTGCAAAAGTGTGTTTAAACCCAATTTGCTCCCTCCCACAGCTGGACCATTTGTCACTTGGGTAGGTGACCTGAGGAGTGCTCTCAGTCATGTTGGCTACCAAGAGCTGATAGAGGCAGGAGAAGACCTGACTGCAAGATGTCCAGCCTAACCTGTAGTGATAACAAATGCTGGTCCACTGGAGGTGCTCAGGACTTCTATGCTATATCTGATCCCTCACAGCTTATCACATCAACTTTTGACTTGCCAGGCAAGACAGGTCATAGCAGCCCAGCACAATGAATAATCCACTTTCTAGATCATCTTCAAGGATAAAGAGTCTTAATTCAGGCATTACTAAATTACAGAACTCTAAAATTACGCTACTGAAGTTCAATTAAGCTGTGAAAGCAACCAAGCACCAGGTACTGACAGTAGTACAGCCATGCCACAAAAACCCATTTTCAGTTCTGCGCAAGGCTGCAGCATCCATAGTAGGCAGCAAGGCAATAACCAGAAGCTCAAAGGAAAAGGTGCATGAGCCACAAATTTAGGAAGCTCTCATCCAGCTGCCTAACAGCTCTGTTTTGAAGACATCACAGAAGCATTTTTCTTAAAAAATAAAGAAGCTTATTGGACAAACCCTATCATCATCCCAAAAAGACCCATGAACCTGCCCGCATAAGACCATGGCCCAGGCATCACTTGCAAATGAAGTTCAGGCTATCAAATCTCCGAAAATATGAGGCACATGCTGACTAAAAGGCTTGGAATGTTACTCCAGCTACAGAGGTAAGGGGTGGTCTATCATCTGCTGGTAGCTACATGTTAAATACAGTTTTGGTTAACTGCTTGCAAGAGACAAATCTGAGGGAAGCTACCAAAAGACAAGCACATCTAAGAATTGTCTTGTGAAGTTTACGTGACAGTGACACAAAAACAGTCATGGGCAGATCTTTGACCACGAGGGCCAGAATCCAGCTACATGGACAGTCATCTTTGGGAGCTGTCATAGGCAGGGACACCTTCCACCAGACCAGGTTACTCGAAGTCCCATCCAACCTGACAGATTCTTTCCTTTTATATATTTTATATGGAATACATAGATGAACACTGGCGAAGACACATACCAGTGTTTCTGACACAATTTCCTCGTGAAGTCCCATTTAGGAACAGAGCATTTTAAAATGCTAGCATTTCTGTGCAAAAGAAGTTCATGCTCCCTTCCAGCCCTGTATAGATGGTGAGTGTTTCTTAGATTGCGAGGTCTGCAATTATGGAATAAATGCCTTGACACTGTAACTATAAAATACCTTTAATTAGTGGGATCAGCTCCCTTCCTCTAGAAGAGGGTATGCACTACTGTCAAAACCTCTGGTTTGTTCTCACTCACCTCAGGGCAGCTAACAGTTAACACAGAGGAAAAGTGTTTTAGTTAACACAGAGGAAAAGTGAAAAGTCTGATGAACACTGATAGGAGACCATATTATCTAAAAATGTGCAGTCCATCATGCAACAAGAACTAAAAAATTCCGTTTTTCTCAAGCTGTGACACTGTGATGTCTGTGTAGGCTCTCAGTGGTATTATTGCCTTCGTGTCTTTTTTACCTGTTCACCTGGGATGTTCCATCCCTCCTTCACAGGAATCATAAATGGTAGTTGTTCCTTATGCAGAAGGATTCCTTATGTCTTTGTTCTCTGTCACTGCAACTTCCTAGTAAGCCTACAAACAGCTCGATAGAGGCAGCCACCACTAACCCAAGAACAGCTCTCAGGAAGAGCTTGTACCCACGGAAGCCTGTGAAAGATACGTACGTTGCAAAATACCATCTGAGTAAAAGGGAAAAAGGGGAATGGTGTTTTTGTTTCTGCCTGACAAAGCAGATCCATACCATAACTAGACAGAAAAATGCAGGAAGTGGGATGTATGAACACTTACATTTTCAACTCAAATGCCAACATTTCTGGGCATGCTGCCCCAAACAGTCTGGTGTTTGAGTAGATATCAGCTCTTGGATAGATTTCTGTACTTTCAGAAGTAAAAGTGCCTCTCAGAAATGCCATTCATCTTGGCCTACTGGAACAGGGAGCCCCAGAATGATACTTACCTGTTTTTCTGCTCATGTCTTCCTATGAGGGCAAGGTGAGGGGGAGCAACCCAAGGCTCAGTCAAATTGGAGAGGGCTCTTATGCCATAGAGGCAGACATGGCTGATATACCATTTGAGCAGCCACCGTATGACTGAAACATGAGCTCCAGAGATGCTCCAAAACCAGAGCCACAGCACCAAATATGTAGCACCAAGCAGAGCAAGCCACTACAGAAATCTCAGAGCTTGTGTGTTGAAAGCTCTGGTTCTGTGAGGTTTCTCAATGCTGGCCTGGAAAAACAAATTTGAAAGCCACTGACTTTTAAGTAATAATCTGCATGCAAGCAATGCTTATTTATGAAGCCATATACCTAAAAAAGGAAGGTTCATGTAGGGTCAATAAAAACACAGTCTAAGATGAAGGAGGACATTATGGTCTCATGAGCATCCACACCACCACTCTTACTGAATTCAGAAGTCAAGGTGTTTGCTGATAGAAAACAGAATATCCACCTTCATTCCAGGTAAGTGGAAATATTGTGAAAGGATGCTGAAGCCTCCCGTGAAGTGCTGTGAATAGTTTCAGAAGAGAGCAATACTATATCTGATGTATTCAAATCAGATCATGCTGTGCTCTCCTTTTGGAGCAAATCTTTCTGGTTGCAGCTGTCATGAGTGACATTAAGGGCTCTGGTCTAAATGGACAAAGCATTAACTACCCTTTAATCTTCCTTTAATTTTTTATCCATGCTTTGGAGTCCTCGGTGTAAGTTACTACAAATGTTTAGGCAGATACAGAAGTCCTTGTTTTTCAGACACAGGTGGATAAATAAATAAGCAGCATGCCTTCTCATAGTTGAAGGTAGCTGGATGCTTTCTCACCTTCAAACAACTAAATGTTGTAAAGACTCAATTCCCCTTTTCAACATGTTTCTCACATTTTTACTAAGTTAATAGGGAATAAAAAAGGTTAAACACATGCAATCTAATAAACTGGATTAGCAGTGGTTTTCCTGGCATCACAAAACTACATATGTTTTCATCCAATGTCCAATATTGAGCTACCTGAAGCAGAAGGGAAGACACAATGGATCTGTGTTGGGAAGTGCCTCCCTTTCACTATTAGCCTCATTAGCTTCATTAAGCCACCTTCTCCACCATGCTGTATTTGCCCTTCATACCACATACATACTGTTACATTCAGCTTGATCTTCACAGATGAAAAGTGTTTACACAGGGAAAAGTTAGAGGAATATCTGGCAATATATTCTAGCATATATTCCTTATTATCCTTTCTTAATTGCAGTAACTGTGCCACTATCTCCAGTTCCCAGTGACTGCTTTACTACACCAAACAGCCAGCCTCTGAGATCTAAGGCTTTGTTTTCATTCCCACACTCATTTGTGGTATCTGCACCTACACAGACCTGTCCTTGGGCCTGAAGGAGAGGGGAGGTAGAGGACTGATTTCTATGGGACACTAAATTCAAAACCACACTTGGTTTCTAAGCAGTATTTTAAAGCAGGAACAACTACTTTTGGGAAAAGAGGTCCTTTAGACAATTCTGTATTTTAATGGACAACCAAAGCTGCTATAGATTAAAAGTAGCCAATTTCCAGATACCTGGGGACATTAAATCAGTTCTACTTAGCTTCAAGAAGTCTACAGAAAAATTGCACTTTGCAACGTCTTTCTCAGTAACTCTGTGCCTGCTCCTAGGAGATATTTCTGCCACTTCATCTATTTTATTTTGGTTTTAAGTCCAAAGAAGGACAATGAAGCTGGTGAGGGGTGCAGAACACAAGACTTATGAGGAGTGGCTGAGGGAGTTTGGGGTGTTTAGCCTGGAGAAAAGGAAGCTGAGGGAGGATCTTATAATTCTCTACAGCAAAGGTGGGGGTCAGTCTCTCAGGTAACAAGTGACAGGACAAGAGTAAATGGCCTCAAGTTGTGTCTGGGAAGGTTTATATTAGATATTAGAAAACATTTTTTCCCTAAAATGGTTGTCAAACACTAAAACAAGCTGCCTAGGGAAGTGGTGGAGTCACCATCCCGGGAGGTCTTTAAAAGATGTGTAGATGTGGCACTTGGGAACATGGTTTAATGGTGGGCTTGGCAGTGTTAGATTAATGACTGGATTTGATGATCTTAAAGATCCTTTCCAACCTCAATGATTCTATGATTTTTTACATCTATTTACAATACATAGCAATAATTTAAAAAATCACAGACTGATACAACACACTAAATGTATGTTAGATTCTGGTAGGATATATGGCCTGATTTTAGTTCCCACACTTTGAATGAAGATTAGTTTTATGCAACACTAAAACCAGTCTCCCCTCTGTAAGGCATTTAGCACAGGGGTAGAGCAACTTTCAGCTCTACCAGTGTAGTGATCAATAACATGACACAGTACTGTCATGCCAGAGCAAGTGACATATGGCCATGTAGCTGCACATTATAATTAACCACTGATTAACAACAGAAAGAGGATAGACTGTTACATTCAATTAACTTGCCTTCCTTTCAGCTGACAAGCAGCTGAGTGTTGAACACTTAATATACTTTTTGCAAATTTCCTTCTCTGCAAGTATTATAATTGCTGTAATTAGCACAGATCAACTATGACAGCAAAACTCTCATTTCATCTATACAATGCAGTACCTTATAAAAAGTTAGGGTTTATCTGTTTTATTAATTAGCTAACCAGTATTTCTTCTTTATCACATGTTCTCATGGAGTTCCATGTAGTTTTTTCAGATAATTCAGTCAGCATCTATATAACCCTACAGGAAAAGAAAATTTTCCCAAGAAATATGAATTGGGATAAGTGCAGTTGACAACAGACACGTGCACATCTACTAAGAGGTACTGTAGTGTCTGAAAAGCGATGCAGGTGTTTCACATTCGTTGTTGAATGAAAGTTGGTATATTCTCTCATGCTGTTTCCTTTCCCATGGACTGTATTTTAGTCCATAGAAAAAAGGCTGCCAAGGCACTTTGAACCTCCTTTTTGACTTTCCTCTGTTTTCCATATGGTGGCCTGCTGTCATAGGTGCTTGGTGTTTCATTTGACTTGACATTTTGATTTGCCTGTCAGAATAGTGCAGAGATTAGAAGAGGTGACTGGCAAGGTTAGAGAGGAGTTTATGCTAGCTAGTAACTTGCCCACTGAGCAGATATTGAGAGATTTGAGCAAATGTGGTCAAGTCAGATCACACTTCTGACAGAAGGACCCATAGAGTGACTTCAGGACTGTAGCCCTGCTGTGCTTCATGTCATCCATCCAAGCAATGAAAGCTGCACAGAAAAAGGTTAATTCAAGTACTTTGTATAGCACAGTCAAATAAACCACTGGGAGACTTCCATTACATTTCCTCAAGGAAATGTTATCTGCTGTGATAACTGAAAGGAGATCAGACACTGACCTTGTGAGTCACCAGATTGTTCTTCTTGGCATAAGGAGTCTATTCAGACAATGTACTGTGGCACGTAAAGGAACTTGGGGGGGTCACCGCCGTGCCTGCGGGGGAATGATGCACAGCTCAGGCTGTGCACTGCCCAGGATGCCTGACCTTCCACTGTCATTTCAGAGAAGAAGGGGTGACACTGACCACAGGAACACCACCTTTAGCCTTCGTCCTTGTACTGACTGGCCATGGGGTGGCAATGTCAATCTTCTGGAAAATACTTTCTTACACTTGCTTGCCTCAGCTCCCACTCCTGTTCCTCCCCCTGTGTGCTTCTTCCCTTGTTCTGTTTTTATAGGTAAGGAATCTGTACTCATATTTTAATCTCCTTTGAAAAAGCTGAATTCAGCTTTTTATTCTAGCAATAGTTCACCACGAAGACATTCTGACCCCTGTAGCCGGTAGGTTCTCTTCTGCTCCCTCTCCTTTCGGTTCCTTACAGGTGCTCAAGTACATTCTTTAAGGGAATTCTACATTCAAGTCACACAAGATTCCTCCTCTTCTTAAGGTGGCAAATGCCAGATACTCTGTCCTTCAGCTAAAGTTTCTTTGAGCATTTGGTTTTTTGCTTTCCAAAAAATACCAGTCACACATTTCTTGACACCAAAGCATGACAAAAAAACATCAATGCTTAAATCTATGTAGGAGAGTGCAGACACCACTGCTGCCCACAAACGTTCTTCTAGTCCTGTGTAGGGTTACTTCAGAATTAAATTTCCTTTTTTTGTTACTGTGGTAGTTCCAGCACTCAGGTTCCTCTCTAAGAAGGAGGCAGAGGCAGGGAAGGGGCAGAATGCCATAGCACGAGCTCTACTTGATAGGACGATGCCTGCCCTTGCAGTCAGGTGGGAACCATGGGAGGTTTCTTCCAAAAGCTCTCCCTTCTCTGGTAATCTTTCAGCTTTCTGTGTGTCTCATTTTGCACAGTTTCTTCATTCATTCAAAACTGCCCACAGGGACAGGCAGAGAGGAAGTACACTAGACGTTCTGAACTGCCCTTAAAGCCTCTGGTTTCACCTCCCATTCACCTCTTTTCCCACAGCTCAGTACAAAGTATGCTTTATACAACACATTTTGCCTTTCAAGCATGAAACAAAACTATCCCTCAGCACTTGTGCTGTACACTGCCTACTCTTATTAGAGTAGGAAGGAGTAATTACAGGGATTATGAACATGGTACCGGATGTCAAGGCATATTAGAACTGTTCAATATCTCAAGAACAAACCAAGATTCTTCCAAGGGGCTGCTTTTCTGCCTGAAATTAAATTATGACATCAAGTACCTTATAAGTAGATCTACCTACTAACTAATTTTCTTCGTGGATTTAAGGAGTTACTCATCTCACATTACCAGAATGTGTCAAAACTCCTTGTCCTCCCAAACATCACAGGTTTTTATTCAATACTGCTCCTAAGGTGCAAAACCACGCTGCCATTCATCGAGAATAGGGCACACATATTGTGCTGCAGTATATATCACATATGCCAGGCTTTACAATAAAGACAGGTCATACACTGTGGATCTTGGAGAAATACATTACTTGGTAATTTCTTCAAGTTATTTGTCCATGAGTACGTTTTATTTTGGGTCATGATGTCAAAGCAGGGAATTAATCCACTTAGAAGCTGGATTGCACTGGCCTCTGTCCTCACTCTTATGGCCGCACGCAGAACTGGCTGCCACATGAACACCTCAGCACTGGGCTGGCAGCATTTTAACACACCTGATGGCATCAGGAAGCTTGTCTTGGGCAAAGACTAAAGAAGTGATGAAAATCTCTCCTCAGTCCTTCACTGAGGCTTGAACACCTGAAACACATTCAGGTTCATGCTGCATTCAAGGGCAATGTTTTTGTAGCATGCTTTCCTATGCTGATAGCAGGAAAAAGCAAGTTCTCACAGATAACCAAAGAAGCTTAAAGTTATGAATTTGACACAGTATGGAGGCAGTCAAGGAGCTCTTTCCCAGCTCAAATGGTTAAGAAACAAGATTTGTCAGAGGACTCAGCTAGAGCTGAACAGGTAACATCCAGTTGTACGGAAGCTTTATCATCCTTGCTGCTATTCCTCTGTAAAATTCAAGAGCTGGTAAAGTTATTATATACTTTTAAGTGGGATCATGAAGCAAGAATAGCAGACACAGGACTGCTATAGAAATTCGTGCTCCAGTTCTTTCCTTCTTCCCTGCTTTAGACATTTAAAAATGCAACTACTTCATGATTAGTCAAATAATCTGAACAGATGCAGCTGGAATCTTAAATCCCAGCACCTGTGCACATCATTATAAGCTGATTTTTACAGCCTGGCCAGAGAACTACTAAACCAGATCTATTCTCCCTAGACATCTGCCTGCTTGTAAGGCCTTTAGCAAAGAAGACAGCTGCTGACATTCAGAGCTCTGCTGAAGCCACTGCTGCTATGCTAAAGCTTCTTTTGGCTTAATGCAGCAAGAAGGGGAATGTACGGATTCAATTCAGTCAGAATCAGTAAGAAGGCAGCAACACTAAACCAGTTTTCAGGATAAGGGGAAGTAAGAGACGGGATGAACACATTGTGAGTGTCCGAAAGGATCTCCCTAGCTCAGAAGGCCCTGAATTGGTATGACAGTGCCTGTATCTTTCTTCAGTCAATACAGGGAGAGCTGAAATTAATAGTTTCACTAAATAACAGTTGGATTGGTTTTCTCTAATGGCTAAAATGAAGAATATAAATCCCAATGAACTAAACAGTAAACAATTTCCTAGGATATATTAATGTTGTTACCTTGTGAAAGTACTTCCCCTTTGTGATTTATTATAGCAAATTTCTTAAACACCAACATTTTAGGGGCGGGACAGTCTGCTGAAAGATGACATTTGGTATGCCAGTTGGCTACAAAATGTTATCGTACTTAATACTATCCCAATTCACTCCCAATTATTAGTAAAGTCTGAACTGCAGGCTATTAACAATAATGAAAACAGTGCATTTTAAAAAAGTAAAAAAGCAAATGAGAAAATATGAGTATTATGACTTCTTTAAAAAAAAAATCTTAAAGAAGTAAGTGCAAAAACCTTTATAATTTATATTCAGATCGATTTACTCTTGGCAGATAATACCACAAGGAAAATACACCAGTGCCAACACAACTTTTCAGTGCCTAGCTACATCTACTTTAGGTGGTACCTTAGGTCATCAACATCAGTGCTGGTCCAAACCTTTGCCAGCTCCAGCAGTCTGACAGTTCTACAATCTCCATACCCAGCTAGTTGAAGAGGAGAACATATATGTGTATATATGTGTAAAAATGTATATATACACACATACATAACAGATATGTGTTTTTATGTGTATGTTTTAAATGAGTCACTGCTCTGTTCCTACTTTGATAGGCATCAAATATGATATTCAATGATTCAACGAAATCAAAGATGATTTATAAGAGCATATAGCAACAGGAGGGGGGGGAATGGCTGCAAACTGAAAGAGAACAGGTTTAAATTAGATATTAGGAAAAAGTTCTTAACTGTGAGAGTGGTGAGGCACCGGAACAGATTGCTCAGATGTGTGGATGCCCCATCCCTGAAAGTGTTCAAGGCCAGGTTGGACGGGACTCTGAACCTTGTGTAGCAGGTGGAATTTGGGCCCATGGCAGGGGGCTTGGAACTAGATCATCTTTAAGATTCTTTCCTAACCAAACCATTCTGTGATTCTATGGTATTCATGCATGAAGAGAGTATCTTTTCAGAAAAAGCACTGGATGGTCATTGTTCTGGTTCACTATTTGTCCTGCATAAACACTGGAAAATCATATTCACACCATGGACTTCTTATGTCAATACCTGACACATCTTCATTAACTTTGTTGTTTTGTGGGGGGAAAACCTGGTATTTCTTCTCACCTCCTCCAAAATGTGCCCTCTCACAGTAATAAAACCTACCATCACACTCCAGACCAAGAAGCTATGTAGAGGACTGCCAGTATTAGTCAGCACTAGTGATGAGAACAACAACTAGGCAGCTTGTCAGAAGTGCGGTGTGACTCAGACTGACTTCCACAAGTCTTTCCGCACCATTAAATTTCTGAATTGTCCCAGCACATGTAGAGTAACAGATGATTAAACACAACCTTATTTTAGGAATCAAGTTAATGAAGCAAGCACAGTACGATGTGAAGGCTTGTTGCACAAAGGTTTCTAGAGTCACGGTGACATTCTTCCCACTATCCTGAATTAGCAGATGTATTTATTACCTGGCAGCTGTGAGCTGGGAGAAAACTCCCACACTGAAGTCATCTTTAATACAGAGCTAGATTAACATAAAACATGAAAAATAATTATTATAAGCTTAATGCAGGCAACCAGCTGTGAAGTCTGTAGGAACAAATGTAACTTTTATAACTGGTTACTAATTGCCTGTAATACCTTCACACATCCCTTTCCCTACCAATTGTCCAGCAGGCTCTCAGCTAGTCTCAGCCTCCAAGTAAGGGCTGCACTTTGGAGAACCACATTTTAGGAAGAGAAGAGGTATTCGAATTCATGTTGTATTTCACTAATCAATAGGTATTCCAGCCTGAAATGACGCAAAAGCCCATTCTAAGCTCTGCCTTTCACTCACTGTAACTGAAATTGCAAATCCTACACATTCACAGGACAATCATAGCATCAAGTCTAATTTGTACCTTTTGCAAAGGAAAACTTTTACCCTCTTCAATATTCAAAAGCAGATTTCCTTTCTCACCCCTTTAGATGAAAGGAAATTGAGTTTTGCCTATTCAAAACAAAAGGCTAAAGACTGACATTTGAAAAAAGTGGAACTATGCACAGTGGGATCTCCAACTGCTGCCATCTACTAGAGCTTTTCCATTCATCCAGGTTTTTCTACAGCATTGCACCAGAGACTACATTTATAAGGGGAAAGGAAAAAACCCTCAAACAAAATGCAGGATCACGACCCTGGACCAACACAGTAGAACTGCCTTGCACAGGAATCTGCTCTGTAGATGCCCATGGGAGACCACACTAGAAAGAAGAGCTAGAAGAGCTGGTGGATGTTCAAGAACCATCTCCTCCAGGCTCAAAAATGGTCTATGGCTACATACACAAACAGAGCTGGCAGGAGGCATGAATGCACAAACAAGAAGTTCTTGACTAAACATGAAAAAGCAGTA